AGAAAACAAGCCTAGGCTCTGATACCACTGTTGGGTTTTGAGCATTCTAACACTCCTAAGTGTACATGCAACCCTAAATACCTTGGATCTATGTTTTCTCTATTATACATGCAAATAAGAATATCCAAGGTATTATCCTAATCTATCATACAAAACATGAATATAACAAGATAGAATACATACCTCTTTGATGTAGAAAGTCTTCATGAAGCTTGAGTGCCTAGCCCCAATAGTGTGGAAGCCTCAAATGGAATCACAATTATCAAAACACTTAGAATAACTTGAGAGAGTTCTACACTTCATGAAATCGGCTAGCCCTTTGTTACACTCTCTAGTGTAATACTAGTGGCCGATTTTTGTCAAGAATAAGATCATTATATAGTGTTACAATTAGGTTAAATCCTTAATTGTCATGGCTTTCCATTTCCTTGGATCCATGGGTTCAAATACACCATGGAGCATCCATGGACCATCCTATGGGTTTTAGCCCAACTTGATTATCCATGGAGCATTAGCCCACTATATAAGTACGGATGATTTACACAATCAACCCATATATTTAATTAGTCTTCTTTTGATCACTTAATTAATCCTAGATTAATTCTTGATCAATACTAATTAAATAATCTTATTATTCTTATTATTAATATACTAGAACTTATAATATATTAATAACCATAAGTGTCTTATTTCTCTCATTATAGTCTATCCAAGTGCATGAAGGTTTGCAACCCAAATGGACCATGCCGGGTCGGGTCAAGTCTTACCAATTATAGTTATGGACTTAGACATTAATCCAACATTTTCTTTACAAGGATACTTTGATTTTTAAAATAAAGCATAAACAAATCGGTATTTTCTGGCCGTGAATTTGGGGATGTCACAGTTGATATCAAAGCATTGGTTTAAGCGAACAAGGAGTAAGGATTTTTTTCTAGACTTAAATTTAGAATGGTAATCGATGATTGTGAGTTGAGTGTGTCTATTATATTTTAGGTAGTACACCTGAAACGACACAAACACTAGCTTACTTTAGGATTAGATGTCTAAAATGCTTTTATGTGCAAAATGGTTTATATAAAGATGCCTTATATGCTATTAGTTGATCGGATCTGAAAATTTTATGTATTTAGATTTCTAAACGTTTAATTACGATATTAGAACTGACATGTAACTTTTCGGAGTAATAAGGGAGATTACCCGTCTAAACATTCTTTATCTTAAATTTCACTTCTTGAACAACTATTACGATACATGGAACGACATGATAAGGACTCGTAACGGATTGAGCAAAAGGAGGAAATGAGAAGGATTACGATAGCAGATGATATATATAAGAAGATATTGAAAGATTGGTATCTTACCTTTGGAGTACATCTAATTAAATAACAGTACGTCTAGAGGAGTACGGTACGTCCAAAGTACACCTTCGAATGGCGGGATGATAAAACGATTGGCGTAATTCCTGAAGTTATCCTATCATCTGGTGTTTCCATCACCAACCGAGTTGAAGCACGATTATGTTGAAGATATGCATGGAAGAATCCCTAGTAGAGTATAGGGAAAAATTTTAAGATTATTTGGACACATTTGTATGTGTTAAACTATTTTGTGATTTTAGGAAATAAGAACTTGGGGACTGCAAGACAATACTTGGGACGAGTATGAGTAGGTTTGAAAGGTAGTAGAGGCCTATACTACCAGAACCACATGACTCACACTTGGATCGGGGAAAGTCACAAGGTTACCAAGAAGCTAGTAATTGATTATATTTTTTTCATGTATGTTGTTACCATTGTTTCGGTAATGAATAAGAAGATGATTGATATTCCAAACCTAATGGTCATATAAAATTGAGTCCGACTAAGACAAGCATGTTACGTGGTTCATAGAACCAAGTTCGATGTAGCATCTGACTTGAGCCAGAAGATTGAAGTGAAAGATAATCGAAAGGATCAATAGAAGTATCACGACCATTGTTTAAGTAAGAAGTCTATAGCTAGAAATTCTACATGTTAAAATGTGATTATATCACATCAGAACATGAAGAAAGGTATATTCCATTCTAGAATTTGACTCTAAGAGACATGAGTCTAAGCGTTGCATAATATGATGAGAGGTCATTAGAACATGACCCATCATTCTGTTATGATAATCGAAGTAAAGAACTTCTCTTAAGATTAGTCTATTTAAGAAGAAGAAGAAGTCTCTAATAAGAATTGATTTTCTAACTCGAAGGTTACGGTTGAAAGTCCAATGTAGGATAAAGAGCGGGTGCAAGATTGACCACCGCCTGCAGTCAAGAAGCCAAAGAGTTAGATACTCGTTCGAAGAAACATAGAAGTTACGATTTACCTATGATGTATACAAGCCCTATTTTTTTGATGTTTCCGAGACGTAATTATCCTAAGGGGGTGATAATTGTAACGCCCACAGATTCAGGCTAGTCATTATAGAGATGATGAGCGTAAAAAAAGACTTTTATTATTAATTATAATTTAGAATAAATAACTAAGTTGTAGTATATGTCACAAGGTTTCCGTACATATAAATAACGCCAAATTCCGAGTTATAACGAAGAAGTTATAACATGTCGAAGTTTCGCGATAAAACCAGTACGACACCGGAAATCGTAAAAAGTGAGTTTACGATAAATTAATTTTTAGCCTTACGGGTCTAAATAAAGGTTGTAGAGTATGTCTCCACCTACGCGTGGGTATATATAACGTCAAAACGGAGCTCGTATGCAAAAGTTATGGCCTTCCAAAGATGTAACTGTCTGAGAGCATGACATGTGTTATAAACCCTAATCTGACTGGACTCGCGGCGTGAGCATGATTCCTCACAATGTGAGGAGTCAAAACACCACTTTTCAAGGCCATAATACATATGACAAGTCTACGTTTAAGGCTTACGATGTTAGCATGCTTTCTCACGACGTGAGGAGTCAAATAGACACTAATCGAGGCTAGAAAACACATGGGAAGGCTACAAGACGACTCATGGAAGCTCATAATGTGAGCATGAAACATCCCAAAAACACAGTCTGAAAATTTTGTTTAATTTAATAATTAAACCCATAGTTAATAAACCTCATATAAAAACCATAAGCAATTTATCTCAAAATAATGTAACAACTGTCAAGTATATTAGAGTATAAACATCCCAGGCTGAATAAATGGTGTGTGCACTGAAATCTTCCCGAGCTCTTATTTTGAAAACTGTGTACCTGAAACCAAAACTGAAAACTGTAAGCACGAAGCTTAGAGAGTCTCCTCAAACTACCACATACCATACAATAACATATAAACACATATTGGGCCTTGCCTACTGCATCGGACCGAGTTCGAAAACTGCATCGGACCGAAGTCCGGAACTAACCAGGGCCTTGCCCTCTACATCGAACCGAAGTTTGGAAACTGCATCGGACCGAAGTCCGAAACTGACTGGGACATTGCCCCTACATCGGACCGAAGTCCGGAACTAACTGCATCGGACCGAAATCTGGAACTGAGTTGGACCTTGTCCCCTGCATCGGACCGAAGTCCGGAAACTGACTGCGCATAACTTAGCATAGTATAAACATATCAACTAGCATAAGCACATATATTGTATACTGCATCGGACCGAAGTCCGTAACACATAACACAAAGACATGCTTGAATCACAAAGACATCAAGCACACTGTACTACTGCATCGGACCAAGGTCCAGAACTACTGCTAACTAAACGGGCCGACATTGTGGCCGTAGACCCGTTCCTATTGGAAGAAAAACTCACCTCACACTACTGAAGTCCCACTTTCCAAAACCATAGCTGCTGGATGACATATTCCCGATCTGTCAATATCAAAATAACACCCAATTAATAATTGGGCTCCACCATATATATATATATATATATATATACATACATACTTTGGATAATTACAACATTACCCCTAGCTTGGCTTACCCAAGCCCAAAGCCCAATCCATAGGCCCAAATTCAACTAGGGAACAAAACCCAACATATGGTCCAATTTTCCAAATTAGCCCAAACATCTACATGGACTTCCCTTAAGGTCCAACTGTTCAGTCTAGTCCATCATGTCTCATTCTAAGGGCCCAATATCATACAACCCTCTAGGCCCAAACTATGGCTCATCTATGGCCCAATTTTCCAAATTGAGCCCAATTTTTTCATTAGTGCCTTACCCTAAAGCCCAACTAAATATTCTAGTCCATAATCATTATTGGATGGCCCATTATTGGCCCAATTACCAATTACCCAATTGAAAAGCCCAACTCAAGGCCCATTTGACATTAGGGTTCCACATAAAATGACAATTAGGGTTAAGTGTTTCTCACTTAATCCATTAAGCGCTTAACCCACTAAGGACTTAATCCATTAAGTCCATTCTTGCTTAGATTAATTTCTGCCAATGATTATTATTTAATATTTTACTTATTAAATAATTCTCGTGTGTGTGTCCCGATAACTTCTCAAAATTAGGGTTTTCTCACTTAGCCCATTAAGGACTTAATCCATTAATTCCTTTACCCTGCTAGATGAATGACATGGTATAATTTAGGATTAATTCACAATCCAATTCCAATGGCCCACAAGTGGGCCCAATAAGTATAAGGCCCAATACTCATAATTAGGGTTTTCCACCCAAAGATGGCCCAATAGGCCCAAAACCAATCTCTAAGCCCATTAGGGTTTTCTAGTGGGGCACCATCCACTACCACCACGGGTGGTGGTGGTCAATGGTGGTTCACAGTGGTGGTTTGGTTCATTTTCATTATTCCAAATTCAAATTACATTTTACAAAGATAACTCAATTAACCACATACACACACACACACTCAACTAATCACACGCACACAACCACACTATGGTGATCGATGGTGGCTAGCGGAGGCAGCCACCACCTCACGGTGGTGGTGACCTTTCTTCTCACTTTTCCGACCAAGCATGGCAGACACACTAAGAAAAATACTCTTCTATGCTCGAGAAATGGATCCAAAACTCCCACCTACGATGTTTAGAGGCGGCAGAAACGTCGACATTGCTTTGACAGCCACCACCTCGCGGTGGTGGTGGCGTTCGCTAATGATCCACTGCCTAGTAACACCTTAACCCCACCTTTCATGTCGTTTGGTACAAGGCGCTACACCCACGCGACAGTGGAGGCTCGCGACGGCTTTCTGACTTCACTTCACGCCGGCAGAAGAAGACCACGGTAGCTTCACAAGTCCGACAAGGGCAACAACGAAGGGTGCTCCATCTTCAGTGGGTAAGGAAGCGGCGGTGGCAGCATTGAGATCGTTGGCGGCCTTTGTTGCTCGGTAAAAGTCATGGTGGGATCGCGATGGCGGAGGAAGGATAACAGTGGCTCCGGTTGTTTACTTCCGATCGTTCACAGCTCTACAGGAGGCAGCAGGTGACGGGATGATGGTGTTTGTCGACGAGGTAGTAGGCGGGACCGGGCTGTCGGGCTTGGTGACGCAAATGGTGGCTGAGGAGGCTCCAATGGTAGTAGCGGCTACCAGAATGAAAGAGATGGCGGCTGTAGTTCTTGCGCTAGGGTTAGGGTTTGAACCCTTAAATATCCGCCTCCATACATAAGTTTGCCAAAATATCAAGATCAGCCCTCTATTCCTCTTTTTCTTCCAAACCAAGGCCATAATTTACCCTTCCTACCCTTGCTCACAAAATTTCTTTCATATCTAGTCCCACAGTTACAATTCAACCCCTCCTTACGAATTATTCTTCAAATAAAGACCACATGTTCCCTTTTAAACCCTAACTTTCAAAACTCTTTACAATGAAGTCCAAAATTACCATTTAGCCCTTGCTTCTCATAATCTATCCATCTTAAGTCCCGATAATTTACCACGTGGTCCTTACCTTCATAAATACTTACAAGACTAATCCGGAACTGACACTTTTAATCTCCGACTTCTAATATTCTTCACAAATTAGTCCGGGACTTATATTTGTTAATTTATTTTAATAAACGGGGTGTTACAGAGCATATGAGGCTCACGGCGTGAGAGAGCCAAAATCAGCCTATAAATAACAATCGAGACCCATTCTTTCATTACACCTTCTATTTTCGTTCTCTTTAGTTTTTCGGAGGCCGTTTCCCTTCCCGAGCCCGACGATCACGAACCGCTGACCGTTTCTAGTTAGATTCTATCCAATCACGCTATTAACGTGAGTGCATACTTACTTTCATCTTACACATAGATATGAAGTATATTATATAATTTACGTGCTATGTGTACATACTATCTGTTTACTTGAGATCTGTGTTGGATGAAAGATTTAAACTTTGTTTTTCAAATATAAAACTGTATATGTATTTTATAACTTGAGCTCTATACTGGATGAAATATTTAAACTTTGTTTTTCAGATCTATACCCTATTTGATTCTTCTTAATCGTTCTGCCACACATTGAAACTTTTCAATGATTCAGAATCACACTTAATCTTATAAGCATAACCACATTTACTAGACTTTTAGTAAATCATGACGAATAATTTTATCGTTCTTTGTGGTGGACTTGACCAATGCACAACATTGTGTACCAGTTCTCCTAGTCCTTCGCTTGACTCTTTGTCAAGGAATTAGTTTTAATTTTCCAAATATGAAGATTCTCATTCATCATACAATACAAGTTGTATGATTCCAAGTTTCCGTCCAATTGAAACTCGGGAGACAAGAAACTTTCCCTATTTGGTAAATTCTCGACATTACCACAAATAGCATAACTAAGAATCACATCCATTTCAACATCGCTAAAACTAGAAATACACAAACGTCAATTTTCATTCATGCCACTGCAAGGAAATATATAAATAAGACAAAATCAAAATTTATTTTATTTATAAAAGGTGCAGAAAAACGTATCCTTACAATGCAAATCAAATGAAAACTATGATATTACATATTCCTAAGCAATCTATCATAACTCTAAACGTAGCAGCTAAAAAATCCGATCATCGAACCATGCGATTGAAATCCATTTCTTCACGATCGGACTCAACACGCTTCTTCCTTTAAGCTTCCTGTCTTTTCTTAGATTCTACAAAACACCAAATGTCATCTTATCACATCGTGTATTTAGAATCTGAAGATAAGAACTTAATAGAGTTAGATAGTGGATTTTACCTGAAGCAGAGGCATACGCCTTGACTCTCACATGTCTTAGATCTCTCTGGTAGACAGGACAACTTCGTCTCCAATGCCCCTTCTCTTGGCAATAAAAGAAAATTGACACTTATGGAACAGCACACGGAACTACCTCATACTTTGCCTTTCTCTTATGTTCAAACTTTTTTTTTGCTATGGAATGACTTTCGTTGCCATTATCTATGTCCATGGAGGTTTGGAAGGCAGATCTAGTTTAACTATCCGTTTATTAAATAAATCAGTATATGAAATTAATAAATGAGTAATAGCCTTAAATCGAATATCTTTTCTGATTCAAGGGCTAAATGGTAATTCCAGAGTAAAGTTGTAAAGATTTATGAGGTCAGGGGTTATTTGGTAAGTTTTAGGACCTGTATTGTAATGAATTTATGGATTCAGGGGTTAAAAGGGAAATATTGGGCTAAAGTTGAAAATGGTTGGCAAGTAGGGGTTTATTGTGACAAAAGTGTTTTGGAGTTTGAGAGAACACAGGACTTGAACCTGATGGCTATTCCCTCCCGTCATTTTGGAGAGACAAACCCTAATTCCGCTATTCCATTGCAGCCGCCACCTATCCCTCCTCCTCATTATTCCGATCAGGCGGAGGTGCCGCCTGTTGCCGTGTTGAGCGCCACCCTAAATGCTGCTGTCGGTGATGAGGTGCGAAGCCGGAAAGAGACACTGGAATCCTCCGACGGAGCTGTGAACGATGCTGCGAGTTTTGAACGACCAAAACCACTCGGTAAGCGATCTGAAATCTGATTCCTCCTCCCTTTTATATTCCGGTGTGTGTGGCATGGGAAACGCCATTGCCGCTGTTGTTGGCCTCGACCTATTGTTTCTGTCGACCCCGACGCCGCTGGGCGTCATGGCGGTGGTTGTTGGTTGTCGTTATCGTCTCTTTTGTGTGTGTGATGTATGTTTAGCTTATGGTGGCGAATGAACATGTCCAGTCTAATATGTGTTTTAGGCTGCCGGAAAGCCGCAACAACCACCATGGCAGCCAACCATGGTGGCTGCCACCCATATTTTCGTTTCTGCCACTGTGTTGCCGCCGCCAGCCAACGTGGAGGGTGGCTGTGTGTGTGCATTATGCGTAAAGTGATATATGTGATTTTTTTAGTTAAGATTTCGAACCACCACCATTGGAAATGGTGGTTGCCGCCGTGATCCGCCACTGACCACCAATATATGTGGTGGTAGTGGGTGGTTCTTGGCATAGTGAACCCTAATCAGCCCAAATTCTTGATCTGGGCTAGTTGTATGGTTATTGGGCTAAAAACCCTAAACAAGGTTTAGAAAACCCTAATTTTGGGGTTTGTAGGTTTGGAACTATTGCGACCCGTGTTTAGACCAGTGGACTAGAGTTATGGCTCATGTCGATTCCATTGTTCAATGGCTTAGTGGAATAATGGACTTAATGGGTTAACTGAGAACACTTAACCCTAATCACCGTTTCGTGTAAAAACCCTAATGTTGCTTGGGCCTTCCTTTTTGGGCTTTGGTGATTGGGCTATTGATGGGCTTTAGGGTAAGTCCCACATGAGGGTTTGAGCTCAATGTGGAAAATTGGGCCATATTTGGACCTTTAGTGGACCTTTGTGGGCCCATTTGGTATTGGGCCTTGGTGGGCCCAACGGGATTGAGTTAGTTATGGACCGGGTTGGTGGACCATATTTAGACCTAATATGTGAAGGTTGGTCTTAAATCCTAATGGGGTTAATTATGGGTTTGACTCAGAGTTAGAGGCTGGAGTACAACAACAACATCTATAGGATCTGTTCACCAACCGAGGTAAGTCTTGTTACTATACTTACCTGTGTTGTAATTTGTGTATGACCGGAGGGTCTTATTCTTGTTGTTGACCAAAGGGTCTTATTTACACTATTGACCGAAGGGTCTTAGTATAATATTAACCGGAGGGTCAGTGTACATTGTAAACCGGAGGGTCTTAATACATTATAGATCAGAGGGTCTTGTTTGTTTATAATGTGATATGTATTATCGTGCATATTTTCATTGTGACTTATGTTGTTATAGTAATTGGTGTATATTTTGATCTTATGTGCATATACAGTGTATTGAGATATCCTGCTTATCTGTGTATTGAGATATTCTGCTTATTGTCTTGTGATATGTATGTTGTGTTTTATTAAGTTACTTAGTTAAGGGACCGGAGGGTCCATCTGAGTTGTGGGACCGGAGGGTCCATCTGAGTTGTGGGACCAGAGGGTCCCACTGAGACACATTGACCAGAGGGTCTTATTGAGTTACAACCTCAAGTGGCTAATGAGTTGTGTGTATTATTTTGGGGAACTCACTTAGCTTCGTGCTTACCGTGTTATGTGTTATGTGTTATGTGTTTCAGGTGCTTCTCTGGATCACGGGAAGGCGCCGACTTGATTGTACAAACGAGGTGGAGTTGTGTTTCGAGGATCATGGATTTTATTCAAATAATTATGAACATGTGTTTTGATAATTAATATATTGAGGTTTTGTGAAAAGTGTTGATGTCATTTCTGTGAATTTAAAAATGAAAATTTTATGCAAAAATTTACGGTGTTACATCTACCAATCAACTTTGCTTCTCAATTGCACCAAATCATTGTTGATTCAACATCAACAAGCAAATAGGTGAGATCGATGAAGGTCACGTCGTGGTCTATCATATAGTACTCTCTTACGAACTCACTATATGAATCAGGAAGCGACTGAAGAACCCAGTCAACAGCCAGCTTCTCACAGACAATGACTCCCAAGATTCTTAACCTGTCAATGTGTGACTTCATCTCTAAGACTGTGCACACACTGACTTTCCTTGTTCATGTTTACTTTCCAAAAGGGATTGAGTGAGCTTGAACTTTTCAAGCGTTCGAACTTATGGGTCAGGGAGAATAATAGGAGGAGGTGGAGGAAGTGAAGAATGATCTCTTGTTCCTCGATCGAATCGTGGAATATCATCTTCTTGTGGAAAACTTGTTCCAAGGGATTTAGGAAGACCATAGTTAGAATCAGACATCTACAAAATGGGAGAAAATTCAAGTTAGTTGATCGAGTCCTTAATAAAACACCCAAATGAGATATTACGGCTAGGACCCAACACAATATTCTACAACATGGAAGAGGGATGTAGTAATCCAAATTGTAGATATTTGAAGGTAGGAAAATGACGATTTACCAATTTCCACCATGAAAAACGAAAATGAAATTTTAAGTTTTAAATGAATTGAAACTCATAGATCTTTTGAGATTCATTGAACTTTTCAATGACATGTTTAAATCTCGATTGTTCTCTTCATTTGTGACTGGGATGCTGAGGATCACATACAAGTTGTGGATAACCATGCAAATTAGCTTGGTACTCTCGATGTTGCGAATCACCTAGTCAATATGCCGATTAACCACACACGCTCCATTGGTCCCATATTAGTGTTCCGTTTAACCACACACGCTCCACTAGTCGACCAATAAGGGTGCAATGTGCAATTTCATGGATTTGCACAAATTACACATTTTCCTAAAGTAACTAAGACTTGAGAATGTATAAAAGTGTTTAGTTACTTCGTAGTTCATTATAATTATAATGGAAAGTTGTGTCCTATCCTATCCGTTCGGATAACGACCCTCCACTAGTCAAGAGTGCGGTGGGTAAGAGTGGATACCCATTCAATCGTCATTTTATAGGCAATTTCCTTAAACACCCCTTAGAGACCAGCTTCGTGAATGAGGCTTACTGACGGTAAGACTGACTCTTTACTTATACATATATAATATTAGACTTTTAATTTTATATATAGTATAAGGGTGTATTTTACACTTTTTAAAATACTAGGTGGTATAATTTAATAAGTTACACTTTTAATTTAATTAAATATAAATCATATCATTATGAATTTATTAACTCTCATTTAATTATACATTTAATTAACTTAATAAAACCATAAGGGTGTAATTTGAAGTTTTCAAAAGCTACAGTTTTAGAATTTAATATTTCAAAAGCAAACTTTTGATCAAATTTTAAATTCCAAAACTTGATGACAAGTTTTGAAACTTTTCAAAACTATCTAGATCAAATTACAAATAATTAAATTAATCAAATAATTGATAATTATCATAATTCAATTTCTTACAAGATAATTCAAAACAAATTTATAAATAATTAATATTTATCTTATAAAACATGTAATTATTTTAATTTTGACAATTATCTTTTATTTTGGTAAGGATAATCACCAAATATTGATAAAATTCGGATTTTATTAATAAAAAACGTTTTTGGTAATTATCCCAAACCAAAACAGCTCAAAATCCCGAAATATCCTTTGTCTGATCCATGGACCACTACTAGAAAAAAAGCCCTTTAATGACGCGCAAACAATGACACGCGGTGATTTACGATACGCAAAAGTGTGTGCCCCAAAAATAATGTCATCTCTTTTAAAATTTGAAGGATAGAGGATGCGCTTTTTGCGCGCGCCCTAAAATTAGTGTCAGAAAAGAAAAAAAAAAGAAATACGGAGGATGCCTTTCATAAGATGTGCGTCATGTAAGTGTGTCGCTTTATATTTTTTTTAATGAAACACGCGTTTCAAGCGGGAAATGAAATCTCAAAAATTAAAACCCCGCCTCCTATTCCAATTAGCAAGAAAGAAGCCTAGGGTCTTCGTCTTCCCCCCCCCCCTCTCTCTCTCTCTCTCTCTAACCTAAAACCCAATCTGCGATTTCGTAGAGATCTTCCATGGCTGTAACAAATGTTGTCTCATCTCACTGATCTTCGCAGCGATTGTGGCTTGAGGGAAAGAATATGGCAGCGACGGTGGCTCCAAAGAAAAAAGACGCCACGCCGGTGACTTTAGGGATGGAAGATAACAATGATGAGTGGGTCAACCCTCATGAAATCGATCCACACTTTCTACTTTTCTCCTACCTTTCTCTCCACCCTTCTCTTTCACCATAATCATCTTCTTATTCATTCGCAAAATATTTAACATGAAAATCAAATCGCTGTTTCATATTTCATTCATTCATATAAAGCCCCGATATTTCAATTCGATTTTGAACCCTACCTAAATCATCATCCTGGAAAAACCCTAGCACATCTTCCCTAAAACGCCCAATAGAAAAAAACCCAGATTTAAATCCCTAATTGATTCAGACGATGAGAACTTGGATGAAGTCGCACCTTCTTCACCCTCCGGTTCGATTTCATGGCATTGTTGATTCAAAGTTTTAGGTAATATTTCTTGATATTGTTATACTCTTATCTCTTCAACTATCTTCAATCGTTCGGTTCAATGTCTCCAGTCGATTTCATTATCTTCAATCGATCTAAGTGAAAGATGCCTATATTTTCGGAGTTGATTTGTTAAGGTTCGTTCACATCCCTATGGAGGAGACTGCGAACTCCTCTTCATTCCACGATCCCCACTTTTACTCTTTATGCATCTCAGGTATTCTTCGTTCCTTCTCCCTTATTCTCATTCTTGTTTGATTTCTTAGGTGCGAGATCCTCCCCCTGTACTTTTATGCTTCTCAATCCCATTCTGATAATTTGTTAGCAGTTGCACACACTCTATGCATCTACTCTCTATGCATCTCAGGTTTCGTTGTTCCAGCAATGAACCAAGATTTATCAACATTTTCACCTTCGACAGCAAGGAGGATTCACCAACTCTTGTTATGGTTCATGGATATGCAGCTGCTTAGGGCTTCTTCTTCAGAAATTTTGATGCTTTCGGCAATTTGAGCTCTAATGATGGTTCACAAAATGATCAAGTTGGTATGAATTCTGAAGTTGCATCTGTCATTAGGGAATTCACCGAGCCATTTAGACAAGATGATGATTATGAAAATGAAGAAGAAGAAGCAGAGGTTGATGTTTTGAGATGATGATTTCTGCCATAAAAACATGTCAATTATCCATTGGTTGCTCATTGTTTTACTCTCATTATGCAGCATATGAACACGGTTAATACCCATCCTGTGCTGCTAGTTGCAACTGCTGATAACTTTGAAGGGTTGCCACCTACAATTAGGCGTTGTTTCAGCCATGAAACGAAAATGGGAGGTTTGACCGAAGACCAGAGAGTGGAAATGCTATCCCAATCACTTCACCTTATCTCTGAATTGGTTCCAGATGTAAGTAAGAATAAGAATAAGAATATTTTACTGTATACATATATTTATCTTAAAATCTAATGAATGATGTATGCTCCTTGCAGACTTGTACAGAGGATGTTGTAAAAGATATGTTTGGACAGACTTTTGGTTTCATGCCAAGGGATATTAGGGCTTTAGTTGCTGATGCTAGTTCAAGTTTGATTCCTATTAATGGCAGTAGCTTTGAGAAGTTGGGTGACAGCAAAGAATTCATGGTCAAAGCTTTGGAGCGGTCAAAGAAAAGGAATGCATCGACTTTGGGGAATCCCAAGGTGTGTAAAATAAAAAATGGTTGGTGGCATTACATCTATTCTACAGGGTAATAAGTTTGATTTGTGTGTGTGTAGGTCGCTAATGTTAAGTGGGAGGACGTTGGTGAGCTGGAAGATGTGAAAAAATCTATTCTTGATACAGTTCAAGTACATACTACATAGGAATGGAATCTTGAATTCCAGTTGGTTGTTGTAAGCTTTGGCATAAGTTGTGACATATTGGTAATGCATTTATAGCTCCCCTTTCTGCATAAAGATTTGTTTTCATCTGGGCTACGTAAGCCCTCTGGTGTTCTTCTCTATGATCCTCCTGGTACAAGGAAAGTATGTTAGTGTTTTATCATCTTATAATCATTTATTTTGTGAGTGATAGCCTCCAGGGCAGCTTTCATGAATGGGAACGCGTCAGCGGGGAACAATCCTGGCTGAGAAAGGAACTCCTTTCCAATTGCGATAACATTGAATGGCAGGTATGTATCTGAAATACAAGACAAATTAAGAAAGATGAAATCTGTTTTGAGTTCTGAAAATGAATTTTTGTGATAGGGAAGGTGGATGAGCTGGAAAAGACTATTTTTGTAGCTGCTAGAGACCCTTCTTTGTATGGTATAAAACAAGTGGAACTTGAAAAGCGAAGGAAGTGGACCACTACTGCTCCGATTTAGGTACAATACAAATCTTTTAATTTATTACTTTGGTAAATATAGATATGAGTCTTATTTTCTATGTGTGGTATGTAACCACTAACCAATCAGGTGGGAAATATTAAGAAAGCAGTGATTGTGGCCGGAAGCACTTCAAACTTTGGTGGGATGCGCCAAGAATTAATGCGGATGCCAAAGTCTCATCAGCAACAAGATAAGGACAGGACCAAAACCGGATCATATGCTGTTGTAGATAATGATGATTTTATTTCTTCAGAATCAGACACATAGATGCTTCTCATCAGGTATGCTTTTGCTTTTATAATTTCTTTAGATATATCATTTTAAAGAGTGTCTTGTCTTGTTTACTAGCCCCAAATGAATTGTTTTTTATACTCATATTTTATTGATAAATATACCTAAAAAGTAGGTCCAATGGGTTGATCTAGCATACCTTTACCAGATGTTTATAACCTCTTAAATTGTTTTTTGAACCAAAAAAAATAGCATATATGATGATGTATTTTTATTATAGCATCCTACTTTCGTTCCTTTGTGTTATAATTTTTTACTTTAAATTTTTTACCACAATGTCATCCAAATGGAAAACATTTAGGTCCTAATAAGAAGTTGAATGTACAATGCTAAAGATGAATAAGAAAAACAAAAAGCTCAAAATAGATTGTGTTAATGATAATAAAAATTGAAATATATAAATATGTATTTGTGGATAATATGTAATTTTTGTATGTACGGTACAACAGACAATAAGATGAAGAGTTATATGAACTAAGTGGAAGTGTAGAAAGGATCGGATCTGTTGGGCTCACCATACATGACGAACTCCTTTCAAAGGTGCACATCTGCTTTATGCATCGACATCATGATCTTCTTCTTCTTCACACTTCACAATTGACATAGATAGATAGATATTTTATTTGATCACCAAAAATAAGCTTAGTTGTTTATTTCCCATTTCAGGAGAAAATTATAGAGGATTTGGGTTCAGAAATGGAAAGTACATCTAATCGTCTTGATTTTGTTCAGGTTAGTCTTCTCTCATTTCATGATGTGTTTGATAATACATAATAGGTGATAGATGGTCCAAGACTGGACCTCACCTAATAAATAATAATTAACAGAAGTTAGCTTACTTGTACTACTTTGACGTCCATTGAGACCAGACAAAAAAGTTTGCAATCTTTTCTTTTGTCCAACCCAAAAATTGAGCCCATTATGTTTGGATAACCAGAATCATATATGTCTCTCCGCTCATCCATTATAATAATACCTAAGAAGCAGAACCAAATCTTTCTTTCTCAATCTCGGGTAGGTTTTTCCTATTTTTTTTAATTGCTTACTGTCACATGCTTTACTTTTTTCATTTAACATGTGCAGTGGTTAATTTGTTTGTGTTTGATATAGTTTGATTGTCATTATATATAAAAAGTGAGTTGTAAAAATGTTGGTTTTGATGGTATGCAATCACATTCCACTTCTAAGTTCTTGCTTTTCACAATGATTATATATATATATATATATATATATATATATATATATATATATATATATATATATATTATAGTTTACAAACTGTAGAATGTGTTCAGTAGTGAATCTCATAGGGACAAAATGGTAAATCTGCAGGTGGTTCAATCAATGTCATTTAGTAATATTTGGAAATACAACCTCTGTAAGTTTGACTAGAACCTTCTGATTTTGTTTACTTTTTAACTTTGTTTTTGGTTCCATTTAGTAATAAAGTATCAAATATCAACAGTTATGTGGTAGTAATCCTTCTGAGGGGGTGTTTGTTGGGCTGCTTCTTTCAATATCATTAACAACAGTGGTAAGTAAAATCTTACTATTATGAAAATCTTTTGTTTAAATCTACCTTATTGACCTGTAGCTGATTAAACATTAATTTAATTATGCAGGTTTGAAGTTTTTGATGGAAAAGAATAGTGTTAATGCTCTTCATAGAAAAGTATGTTGGTAGTTTAGGAAATTTGGCGAATAATTTAGTTAATTATATAAAAAAATGTTGAAATGTTACAATATTTGTCTATTATTGGAATGATTATTTGTATGACATTAAATTTTGTGCAATATATTGTATTTTTTGTATTGTGAGACATGAAATGCAAATTTAATTTGAAAATCAGTAAATCTATAAATAATTTAAAAAAAAAAAAATTAAAATTACGATACGCAAAAATGTGTGTCGTCTTCATTTATGACATGGCCTTTCTTGACAGGGCCTTTCTTGATACGTATTGCGTGTCATTAACACGCGTGTCGTAAGGTTACGACACGCGAATGCGTGTCGTCTTCCTTTATGACAGGGCCTTCCTTGATACGCATTGCGTGTCTTAAACGCGCGTCGTAATTGCGCGTCGTAAATGCGCGTCGTCTCTCTTTATGACATGGCCTTCCTTGACGCGCATTTGCGCGTCGTCTGAGCGTTTTACGACGCGCAATGAGCGTCGTAAAAGGCTGTTTTTCTAGTAGTCAAGTAGTGGACTCGCCGAGTCAGGGACTGGACTCACTGAGTCAGGCTGACTCGCCGAGTCAGGTCAGGCAGAGGGCAGAAAAACAATTTTCAGCAAGATGAACATACAAGGCATCAATACAGTAGAAACCAATCAAGGCTCTGATACCATTGATGGGTTTTATACAAAAGAAACATCCTATGTGCTCATGCAAACCCTAAAGCTTGGATCTAAGTTTCTCTATTGTACATGCAATTCATCCAAGACTTAAGAACCCTAGATCTAGCATACATATTTCGAGATTAACATATAAGAACAAATCTAGATGATTACCTCTTCAAGAATGGCTCGAACCTCTTTAAGAATGCTTGAATCTTCTTTCCTTGTAGCTTAGAGTCACAAATGACACTCCTCTAATGGCTTACAAACACCACAAGCAAGAGAATGACTTATGAGAAGATAAGAGGGCACCAAAAATGTCCAAGCACCCTTAGGAATTACTTCCACACATTTTTGGGGCCTTAGGGGTTCCTTATATAGGGAGGCTATTAGGGTTTTGAGTCCATTTGCCTAATATTCAACTATAAAACAATTGACAGTTCTAATCCCCTTTATTTAATTAATGTCTTTTAGCCACGAAATTAATTCTTAATTAATTTCTGTCTGATATTAATTAAACAATATGATTTCTCCTTTAATATATTATTCATATAATATATTAATAAACCATAACAATCTCTCTCTCTTTCCATAAATTATCCTATTAAGTTGCTTTGGTGAAGGCAACCCAAAAGGATCATGCACAACCGAGTCAAGTACATACCAAATATAGTTACGGGCTTAGACACTAATCCAACAAGACCTTTAACAATAAAGAAGACAATGAGGATGAGCAATTGAGTTGATTGTTTGATGATTAAACATGACAATTATATTATTGTGGGTTGAAAACCCTATGTGCTCATCAAGTTTTCCAACCTGACCCACTCAGCTTATTTGTATCACAGGTGTCGATACGAAGCTACATTACACTGAGAGATTAAAAGAGATGTAGATCACTAGTGCAAATGAATGTAAGATATGTTTATGCTTATGTTTCTGTATTGATAATGACATACTAAAGTTTTAATACAAACATAATACATTTGTTCAGAAAATGCTTTGATAATATGTTTATCATGTTTTTCTGGGAACAAATTCCACAACACTTTTCTTTACAAGGATACTTTGATTTTTAAAATAAAGCATAAACAAATCGGTCTTTTTCTGGTATTGAATTTGGAGGATGTCACACTATTAGGTTTTGGCTGCTTTTGAATTCATTGAGATTCAATTTAGATATTGCATTTCCGATATTACATATACTCTTCTAGATATCCGATATATGTAATTGACTCGTGTATAAAAAAACAACAAATGTTGATGTAATCTAATTTGGAAAACATAAGTTAGTTTATTTTTTTAAAATTTATTGTAATATAATATTTGATGACACAAGTAAAGTAATTTATAAGTTATAAACTATCATTTTAAAAAGCTATTCATAATAGTTTGATAATAACTGGTAAGAGGCACAAGTCCTTAGACCTTGTCATTTGTCGTGGATCAAACTGATCGTATATAAATATGCACTTTGTATCACCTATTTTACATTATAATATAATTAATATTATTCTTTTGCATTCATATTAATTCCAATTACACTTAAATGATTGTTTACACTTAGGTGGTGTTTTATTTATTTATTTATTTATTATTTTATTTTTTAAAGCTCTTTTTGAGCACTTATGTTTGCGGAGGAGGGGGGAGGAGATATTTTACGTTTGCACAATAAATTGTTTATTTTTTAGAAGATCACAAACCTCTAAACATATGCACATCCTCTTATCCAAAAAGACATTGACAAAATATATGGGCGATGATAAGACATTTCTTACAAACATCTTCTAGACAATAATAATGATTAAACTATTTTATATATAATTAAGGATCCTTCACTTTTTCCTTTTATATTAATTTTGTACAAATTAAAACCATCTATTTTCTAAAACGATTGAATTACTTTGTAAATTTTTTTATAAAATTCTATATTAGATTGTATTTTTTGTTTGTTTCATGTGTTTAATATGAGGTTTTATGTGTAAAAGATTATGTAGAAATTATAATTGACATATATTATAAAGATTATAATAGTCATAAATTAATATAGTGTTTCTTTTTGTAATTATAAAATGTTTTTTTTTTAATTTAAATTCAATCATATCTTTATATTGAAGATGACAACATTTTGGTTGGTTACACAAATAAACATTATAATCGTTTGAACGCTTAATAGTTTTATAAGGAAGATGAGTTTGAGCGATAATTTTTTTTCTTAATACGAGCAACCAAATACGTTGTTTCGAAGTATATGAAATGAATAATTTTTGTTTTTTAAAAAAAAAATGTTGTTGTGGCTGTATACATTATATTTCAGTTGTAAATGTAGAATTATTTAAATTTCAATGTTTAAAAACTCTTTTAAGTATCATAAACGAGTTTATTTATGTTTCAACTTATTTTATCAACATGCAGAAATTAAAAAAAACATTTTTTTAGACGGCAAATGTTTGGTTCATTTTTTTTGTTGATGTCTGCAAATATGATCCCATTGCAAACCTTATATCACTTTAAAACAAGCTAAACTTATTAGGTTTTTACAAAAAAATTATTATATCTTATCATAAGATAATTAAACATTTTATTATTAACTAAATGATATACTTAAATTACATATAAAATTAAAATTAAAGGTTTTATATGAAAAAAATACACTTGATTTAATTTAATATTTGTGAAATAATAGACACAAATTGTAAAGATTACAATAGACACAAATTAATAGTGTTTCTTTTTTGTAATAATAAAATGTTGTTGTTGTTGTTTTTCATTTTCTTGTAGATTACAACATTTCATTGGTTATACAAAGAAACATTACAATTGTTTGAGCGCTTCATAATTTTATAAGGAAAAAGAGTCTAAACGATAATTTCTTTTCTTAATACGAGCAATCGAATTCGTTGTTTCGAAGTATATGTAATGCATAATTTTTTTTTTTAAAAAAATTGTTATTACGTCTGTATGCATTATATTTCAGTTGTAAAACTAGAATTATTCAAATTTCAATGTTTAAAAACTCTTTTAAGTTTTATAAACGAGTTTATTTATGTTTCAACTTTCTTTATTAACATGAAGAAAAAAAATATTTTTTTTTTACAGACTGCAAACGTTTGATCTATGTTTTTTTTCTATAGATGTCTGCAAATATGATCCACACTGCAGACCTTATATCATTTTAAAACAAGCCAAACTTATTAGTATTTACAAAAAAAATTATGATATCTTATCATAAGATAATTAAACATTTTAGTATTAACTAAATAATATACTTAAATTACATATAAAATTAAGATTATAGGTTTTACATGAAAAGAAATACACTTGATTTAATGTAATATCTGTGAAATAAAAAAAAGACTATTTAATGTGATATAATACGTACTAAACAATTAACTTTAAAACAGCAAGGACCACTCCCACATGTCATTCGCCCTTCTAAAAAGGTGCATCCCAACAATGTTTGGTCAAATTTCCTTCCCACACACACACACACGGCATGAGAATTATACAAAATCTGTAATAGTTGTGTGAGAGATATGACATAGTCTTGGTGGGGGTGGTGGTGACATTGATGACGAATCCGACATGGGAAAAAAACTTGCAGATGAGATGAAAAACAATGGAAACTTTTGTTCAAAGCTTTCTCTTTCTCTTTCTATTTCATGATTTTGTCATCTGCGTGTTTTTTGGAGTGTTTTGGTGTGTGTTAAGAATTGATTCCAACGGCCCCACCACATCAGACTTGCTAACTTTCCTCTTCTCAAATCCCAAAACCAAATTTCTCATCGCCAATTTCCCTCCCACCCACCCACTCACCATCACCGTGAAAAAGATCCATACTTCTTCTTCGTCATCTCCATCGCCACTGAAACTATATGGTTGCCATACCAAAACCCATTGTCTTCTCAATAAAATAAGTGAATTGGGTGTTTAATCGATCTGGGGTTCTCTCCTTTTGGTCGGTTTATGATACCCTTTTCTCAAAATTTCTTTTTTATTTTTATCCTTATTTTGTTTTCGTGATCTAACTTCAGTTTTATTTGGATATTTTCTTGAATGTAATTTGATTAGATGATGAGAGATTTGCAGAAAGATCCATCTGGGTGTTCTGTTTCCTGAGAAAATTGAGATTCCCACATTGTATTAAGATCCTATTTTGTGTTTTCTTATAGTGATTCATCCAGATCCTTGAGTATTTCTAAAAAAAACTTAATTTTTTTTCGGCATTCATATTTTGTGTTTGTGTGATTTAGTGTGTTTTTTTTAGTGTATCGTGAATTGATAGCCCCATCACATCAATGCAAAATCTAAGTGTCAACTGCGTCGTCGTCTTCTTCTTCGTAGCAACCGCCCCACTGCCCTTCTCTCACATTTCTACAGTCTTTAATGGCTGCCACAACTTTACACCTAATTTCACTCAATAAAATAAGTGGGTTAGTGTTTAATCCATTTGGGGTCTCTCTCTTTTTGATCAATCGAAGAAAACCCTTTTCTTATTTTTTTTCAATTTTTTCTTTTTTTTATATACTTAGCGTAAGCGTTGTTGAAGCATAAATTTTCGACTTTTTTTTTTGACGTTATCTCCAAGATAATCGATCAGATTCTGGGTTTTTTGTTTTTGAGAAATTTGCAATACACACATTGAATTAAGTTCTCTAACTCATCAAGATTTTGGTTACAATCCGGATGTTTGCTTTCTCCAACCCTTCAAATTTGCGGCTTTTCTGGAGTTGTGGATTTGACTTTTAGGGTTTTATAAATCTTAAAAGGCATGATTGCTTGTCTTACAAGGTGTTGATCATCACGTTCTTCAACTGGATTGCAAATCACACTTCTCAAATTGAAATTACGAAGTAAAATTGGGTGAAAAGAGAAAAAGGGAAAATACCTTTTTGATTCTTTATCAATACAAGAATTCAAATTCAAAGGGTTCTAAATTTCAGGTATCTTCTCATCGATGCATACTCATTAATCCTACTTTTTCATTTTTATCTTTTCGAACATTTATATTTTATATTTTCACAATGATCTAAAACCGGTCGATCTTGCAAGTATGATGGTTTGTTCGAAAAAGCCAAGTAAGATGGTTCCAAAAGTAATTCGCTATTTCATTGATTGGTTTATTATATTTATAGCATCCTGCTTTTAATTCCCCTTGTGACAACATTATAGTTTGTAAATTTTTCTCAATTATACCAATGCCATCCAAATACAAAGCAAAATTCACTAATCTGTTTTGGCCATTTTAAATTTTCACTATTTTTAGGCCGAGCATAGTGTTGATCTTTTTGTTAGTTTGTGTAAACTCTAGGATTTTTATAGTATTTTTGCAAATATGTTGGTTGTTTAGGACAAACATAAGAGAACGAGTCAATTGGATTGAGAGTGAGACTTATGTCCATGGTACGAAAATTGCAACTTTTTTGTCCCATCCAGAAAGGTGGGATAGTGACAAATGCCCTCCTCGTCCTTATCATCAGAAATATCCCTAGAAAGCATTTGTTGACAATAACATAACTAGCCGATTAAAGTTGGGGTTAACTTTGTAAATTTACACTTACCCGATTCTTTCTTATCAGGAAAAGAAAACACGGATTTTGTTTGATAAAATCATATATAATATAATGGCAAAGAGATCAAAACAACGTGGTGGTAGGCAAAAGAAAGACCAGTCAGGATGTATGTGGGGATTAATGAGTATGTTTGACTTTCGACATGGTCGGGCTACAAAAAGGCTTCTTTCAGATCGCAAAAGATACACACCGACTCCCACTGATACTACTCATGGTAAGAAGTTTGTTTCCATAGCATAAATGCAACAAATAGCTATGTACTTTCATGTATTTGTTTATTCTAGCATTGTATTTTCATTTTTGGTAAGACTTCTGCTTACATGGAAACTAAAACGAGATAAATGCAAGAAGATATAGTCACTTACTTTCATTTATTTTTTTTTATTATAGCATGTCCTACTTTCGGCGTTTCTATTGCAACCTTGTATTTTCATTTCATTTAATTTCTGATTAAGGCATTATACTTTATACCAATTATAGCATTGTACTTTTAGTTTTTTCTTATTTGGACATTGCACTTTGAATACTCTACTCAATTATAGGAATGAAAATTGCTATGTGTTGCATATAATGGGGTAGATTTTTTAAACTACAATTCTGTAATTGAAGTACGTTGCTGTTTCTTGCACTTAACCCAAACTAAAACTATTTGGTGTATGTTTTTCCCAACAAAAAGAAAAATATTTGGGTGACCTTTAATTTGATCCGTTATCTTTTTTTAAGCTAAAATCTTCTGATTTGTATCCATTTGATCTGTTGGAGATAAAACATAACTCAAATTGACCCTGTTGACTTGACATGTTATATAAGCAAATGTAAACTTATAATTTTCTTGTTTTTTTTTTTTTTTTTTTTTTCAGATTCTCCATACCTTACACCTGAAGTGAGTTTGTCCACAAATTCTGAAGAGTTGCATCAAAGCATCGAGGTATAGACTGTTATAAATTTCCTTTCATGTTTTTTCATGAAATTTAAACCCTAAATCCTTTTTAGGTTATGATTGCTTATTTGACCATTGTTGTCAATACAATTTTTTAGAAACCTGGATTTGATCTCATGAGGACAAGAGTGAAGGAACTTATTAAAGAAGAGATGTTCATGGACCAAGATTCAAAGAAGCAAAATGACATCAACAAGTTAGAAAAGCACAAACCCAAGCATACAGAAAAAATATTAAAAGAATCTCATAATCAAGAAATCTCAATCACTCATCAAGTTTCCACTCAAAAAACCTCACAGTATCAAGATCTCGAAGCTCTCGTGAAAGAGATCTTGCTGATTTACCAAAAAAAGAACGAACAGAATGGCGATCCAGACACAGGGGCAAAACGGTCTTTTCCTATTGTCGAAGAAAAGCTTGTTGCGGCCATTGAGACATTGCTTAATGAAAACGGTGGCCACAAGAAGTTTCACCATTCGAGGGAGATGTTTCAGATGTTGAGTTCCAATAAAGAAATGTTATTCAAACTCATTCAAGATCAAAACTCCATTTTACTAAACGAAGACCAAAAGTCAAAGTCAAAGTCAAAGGTGATTTCGGGCCTGAAGTTTCCGGAGACCGAGCTAACTGATCGAGAAACGGAGGAGCCCGTGACCCATAAACACCGCAAGTTTTTCAGAAGAAGGAGCAAGTCCGTAGATAATATACCCATGAACGAAAAGGGTAAAATCGTCATTTTGAAGCCGGGTTCCCCAGAAAATCAAATAGGGAATGAAAATTCTTCACAGTTTTCTTTCATGGAGATTAAAAGACGACTTAAAAATGCGATGGGGAAGGAGCAAAGAACACCGGGGAAAACAGTTGATGGACATGGTGGATGGAGTTCTCCAAATAGAAATCATTTTTATACGGAAAGATTCACTAATTTTCATTCATGGAGGTCAAAAGACGATTTAGCCCATGGAAGGGTTTCGAAATTACGAGAATCCGAAATGAAAGATGAGGATATGAATCATCGGATATCTAATATTTATGTTGAGGCTAAGAAACATTTATCAGAGATGCTGACAAGTGGAGATGAAGATGCCGATTTGATGATGAGAAGCTTACCTAAAAGCCTTGGCAGGATTTTGTCTCTTCGAGAGTACAACTCTCTTTCTCCAGGTACAAGTCCTAGAGCACAAGATATTCGTTTGGTCAACAAAAGTCAACCTTCTACGGACAACAACAATCATGAAGAAAATATAACTTCTGAAGGTATTCCATTCCATGACGTGTTTGGTATTAATACTGAGAAAGAAAATTAATTAAGAGTAAATTACATTTTTGATCCTTGAGTATAGCTGATTTTTTTCAGTTTTGGTCCCAAGAAAACTCTTCCAATTTTGGTCGTTATTTGAGGTTTTCATAATGTTTTTGGTCCCAAGTAAAATGACTATTTTTGGGACCAAATGTGCGAAAATCAGCCATACTCATGGAACAAAAATGCGATTTACTCAAAATTTAAAAATCAATAAGTTTTCATCATTGAATTCCATTCCAATAATGCCAACCAAATGCCCTACAGATTACAATCTGTTGAGATTCCGTTCCTTTGGCAATTAGAAAGCATTTTGTGAATGAAACGCCCCTAAATCTTGTGTATTGAAAACTTATGCAGAGGGTCAAGTGATTGTAGCATTGGAATCTTGTGATAAAGAACACGAAGAAGACCAAACAGAAGGTGTAGATGTTTTGTGTGAATCGCACGGGTCTATAAATGGCATAGAGGACAACCACAATGCAGTGATTCCGGATTGTTCTAATGAAGAAAGCTCTTCAGACAGTTTAAAACAGGTGAGTGATGTCTGATAAATAATTTTTAATTTTTTTTTTTGAGATAATGATGTTACCCGTGAAATGGAAGGAAAAAGTAAATTAGGCCAAAGGAAAAGTAAATTAATGGGAAAATTCCCATTTCTTGTGCTTTCTCTATTGATTGTTCTTTCTGCATTAAGTCAAAAAAAAAAAAAAAAGCACACTCATTCATAGCTTACAGGATTATTGGACCAAAAAGTTTTCTCTTGCAATTTGTAACGTTTTTGGTCAAAAGTAATATGTGACTATATTATTGGACCAAAATTGTTGCAAAAATTTCAAATATAGACCAAATTTGCAAGAGAATTTTTTGTTACCAAATTTGCAAAAATCAGCTATATTAATGAACCAAAAATGTAATTTACTCTTTTATATTCCCATTAAAATGATGTCCGGCTGAGTAAGAGCTGTATGTGTGCAATCACACTAACTTCAATTCACAGAATCTAAATCAGAACACAAAATAACATAAAGATTGAAACATTCTTTTTGTTGATTTCCAGGATTTACACGATGATAACGACTCATCATCTTGTGGACCACATATAATAGAGCCTACGGTAGCCAACAAGACAGAAGAACACGAGATTACTCCCTCTGATAAAGCCGGGAAACCGAGTCCTATTTCCGTTCTCGACCCGTTATTCTCAGATGACGACGTCAGCCCCGCAAGAACCGTTTCTCGACCCGGTAACCCCTTTGAAATTTTCAATTAGTTAAATGTCTAAAATACCCTTTTTCCTAAACTAACGCTATTTTTTCTTGAAAAATTTCAGTCGAACCTGCGATTCAACCACTGCGTATCCAATTTGATGATGGACCTGTTTCCCGTTCTGAAGATCAACAAATACGAATCACAAATTCTGAGGATAGTGAGGAATCTGCGTTTGAATACATTGAAGCTGTGCTCCTTTCATCTGACCTAAACTGGACTGATTTTGAAAAAAGGTGGCTTTCGGGTACACAGATCCTCGATCCATCTATATTCGAGGAAGTGGAAACGTTTTCGGGTCGGGCCCAATATGATCAACGACTTCTATTTGATTCGACCAATGAAGTTCTTGAAGAGGTATGCGATCATTTTATTCCCGAATCATTGTTCATCAAAAAGGCCGTTTGGCCCGTTCCTAAAGGAATGGATCTAATAAACGAGGTTTGGAGAAGAATCGAATCACGTCTTTGTAAGGTTTACCCTCGAGATTTAGACAAGCTTGTGAGAAACGAATTGGGAACATCAAAAATGTGGTTGGATTTGGACAATTTTCGATCCGAGTCTCGGGAAATAGTTGTCAAGATCGAAGAATCAATCTTTGAAGAAACAATGGATGATACCCTTTTGAGTTTATTTGACAGAACGAATGATGGTTTATCTTGTTCATGAAAAGACCCTGATTTTGGGATTGGAAGATGGTGTTCTTGTTTTCTTGATTAGAGAGGATTTTAGGGTTTGGTTAATGTGTGTTTCAATGTTGTGTGTTTCTGTTATTTTTTTTTTTCACATAGTTACAAAGATACATGAACATGGAGGTTAGTTTGTAACTACATATATAATCATATAAATAGGTGGTGGTTTGTAGTATTTTGTATTCGATAACAATCATATATTACAAATAAATTCATTTATGATAAGTTGTTTTACATTATAAAGATCAGTGGGTATATATTGTTATATTGTTTTTTTTTTTTTTTTTTTTTTTTTTTTTTTTAAATTTAAAAATAACATAACACATTTTAACAACACCCACTTGGTTTATAAGCCCTTTTTTAGATAGGACAAGACAAAACATGAAATGGTGATTTTTCTTCTAATGTTTATGCCATTGTTTTTTTGTGTGTGTTGTTGTAATGTGAGTGGCATGACATGCTGTTTTTTCTTGTAAGGTGATTGACATGAGAATTTCGTATTCACCGTTATGAAAAGGTGTTTTAGGATATATAAAAATGTTAGAAGACTATTATTCTACATCGAAACCAAAAAAAGATCACTGTAGTCTTTTAGAAAACAAACAATATGTAAAAACTAATATTAATATATGGACATGATAAATGTGACAAGACAAAAGACAAAAGACGAAAAAAAAAAAACTCTAAGATTACTCGATTTGAATCCTATGACTTTAGATTGTTCTTTTAGGGGATAATGATTTGAAAGGGTAACGAACTTTCGATTTTTGTCACATTTAGTCACTAAACTTTTTTTCGTTATCTATTTGCCATTGAACTATTGCAACTGTTCACATTTTACCCTTATGACCGGTTGTTACCGGTCATAAGGGTAAAATGTGAACAGTTTCAATAGTTTAGTGGCAAATAAATAATGAAAAAAAGTTTAGTGACTAAATGTGAACAAAATCGAAAGTTCGTTTCCCTTTAAAAAGTTCAATGACTAAATGTGAACAAACTTCCTGTTGTATTATGTTTTAGCAAAATTATTTATTTTTGTTTAATTATAGCAACATTTGTTGATAAAGAAATCTATGAAATAAAAAAACAAAATGTAACATCCGGATTTCCAGGTATCATCATTTAAGTATTTTTTTTTTTGAGTTAAGAAGAGAGACTCGACGAGTTGATGCCTCAACTCGTCGAGTAAGGTCGCGACTGATGACTCGGATTAATGAATGGACTCGACGAGTCGGTGAGGCAACTCGACGAGTCCACGTTGTTGGTAGAAACCCTAAATCTTTGGGCTCGAGCCATATTTAAAGGCACTTATGGCCTTCAATTGCGACTACCTTTCCCATAAATGAGAACCCTAGCGAGCTTAAGTGTGTAGAGTGAAAGGAAGAGCTATCTTGAGCTTTTTGGTGTTATAGATCTGGACCCTTCTAGGTTCAGAGAGCTGAGAATATGAAGCTTTAGTAGAGTAAACCTTGGGGTTCAAAGTTAGGAAGCATTTATGGTATATATAGTTACTTTCATCTTATTCATAGATATGAAGTATTTTATATAAATTACGTGCTATGTGTGCACATTATTTGAATACTTGTTGTCTATGTTGGATGAACGATTTTATACATGTTTTAAAAGATTTAAACGGTATATTTATTTTATATCTACAAATATGTTGCGGATGAAACATGGGTAGATGAAATAGTCGGTGTGTGATGAAATAAAATGATGAGAGATATGTGATGATAGAAAGGTGATGATAATTAGGTAAATAGATGATGATGAATATGTGATGTAGGATGAAAGGAGATACCATAACCTTAACCAACAATGTGGCGATGTAGTCATCTACCAGAGTATAGATGGCGACCACGGACTATTCTAGACAACCCAGTGGAAACACTAGCAGACTCATAACCTGTAGGTGATGAATTACGAGTTCAGACGATGTTGTAACTACGTATTCATGTGATGATACTCTAACCCCTTACTATGAATTACGAGTTCAGACGATGTTGTAATTACATATTCATGGGATGTCACAAATTTCGCATGCCAAACCAATGGTCATAATTCACATCAGTGAGAATGGTTCATTTTTTTGTAAAACCAAAATCAGATTGAAAATTTTGATTTTTTATTTTGGAAAATGTCAAACTATTGGTTTTTTATTTCGGTTTTGGTTTTTTGTTTTTTTTAAATATATTTTCAGGGTTTTGTTTTTGTTTTGTTTTTTATTTTTTTTATTCATAGATTTCTTCATCAACAAATGTTGCTACAATTTAACAAAAATAAATAATTTGCTAAAACATAATACAAAAGGAGGTTTGTTCACATTTATTCATTGAATTTTTTAGAGGGAAACGAACTTTCGATTTTGTACATATTTAGTCACTAAACTTTTTTTCGTTATTTATTTGCCATTGAACTATTGAAACTGTTCATATTTTACCCTGCCGGTCATAAGGGTAAAATGTGAACATTTTCAATAGTTCAATGGCAAATAGATAACGAAAAAAAGTTTAGTGACTAAATGTAACAAAAGTCGAAAATTCATTACTTTTTCAAATCATTATCCGTTGTTTTAGTGGTTGCCCATGTATGTTTGTACTTTAATTCTAAATAAATGCTTGCTTGACTTTACGTAATTACACCCACCGAAAGGTATTAACTTCATCTTCGAACGTTTGGCTTGTTATTTGCATGGATCACGATAATTTCTTATAAATAATTTTATTCCTATTAAACATGTGTAATTTTTTTTTTTTTAAAGTCACATGAAGCTAGTCAATCAACATGTAATAACACAATCACAAAATTTAAAAAAAAAAAAAAAAAAAGATAAAAAAAAAAAAACTCCAGTGTTACTTTCCACCGACTTCTCCTAAATTATGTTATGTAACAAAACATTATATTCATCAAACAAATATCACGAATTCACGGTGTATATATAATATATACATGAATTTATAAAAGCACTTTTTGAGAACTTTTTTTTTCATAAATAGAAAAAGGGCGTAAAGTTATTTTTTGGCCCATGTTATAAGGTTATGCGCTTATGGCTATTAAGCTTCTAAGCTTCTTCATTTTTTATGTAGGGTTACGACCACGCGTAATTGAAAATTTTCTCTTCGGGTTTTCTTAAATCATCCGATACAATTGTTTAGCTTTTACTTTCATAGAAGGCCATATATGCATGCTACACACATTGTATTAGTTTTAAAAAGGTTAAATATGAAACTAGGCTGTTAGCTTATTATTTTATATTCAACCTAAAAGAATGATGTTATAAATTGTCGGAAGGTGAACGCATGTCGCTATAAACTGTAAAATAACTAAAGCTAAAAGTATGTTGCAATGAATGGTAGAAAAATAAAGTATGTTACAATAAACCATAAAAGGTCAACCATTATAGAAAACAATTAAATTGGAAATACTATTGAAAAGTAAAAACTTGTTTGATTAATTTGTTTATTTTTTATCAAATCTATTCTAAGATGTTATATAAGAAGTTAATCTACCAATTACCAAACCTAGCTTTTTTTTTAGTAAATTATCTATTAATTCTCCCTAGTTAAATGATCTTGTAGCATATGCAACAAATGGTGTCTACGAATTTGAATTTGATCAATTTAGTTGGCAAAAACGTTCTACCCATTACTGTTAACTCCAGTCAAACCACTTTTACATCTACTTTCTAACTTTTCAAGTGTCATTTACATGAAGAAAAAAAAAGAGCACAAAAAGAGGCAAACGAAAGATTGAAGTTGTCTTCAAAACAAGGCCTTATGATTCTTGGTTTCTCATGGATTTATCTTCAAATAAAACATCTTCAGTCCAAGCAACAATGTTGAATGCCAAACCTTCCAATACCCTTGAGTAGCTTTCCAATATAGCTTGTCCCACATCCTACACAAATATATATATAACATCAAATCAACTATGAGGGTTAAAAATGTTACATTTTGAAAACAAAGGGGCGTTTTGTTTGTCAAATGTTTTTTGATCGGATAAATCCATCAAAGGAATTGGATTCCCCAATAAATGATGAAATCCATCAAATATACAATTTGAAGAATTCCGTCCATCGCCAGCCAACCAAACACGCTCCGGAATAGAATCTCGAATTCCAATTCCGTAGAATCCACAAGTAATTTAATTAAGTCAACTTACCTTGTTATATTGGATCTTGCTTGTATCCAATGTTGTTTGCGAGAGTTCGGGGTACCGTTGTTTCAAGCTAAACAACAAACTATCGGCTCGATCCGCTAAAATCACATTCTTATCGCTCCGTTCTACTTCCGCCACGTGTTGTTTAACCATCTCCCATGATGATTTTGAATAACTTGCACACGCTTTACGCCTCCATGTATACATAGACGCCTCGACTCGATCCGCCAACTCAAGCGCTTCATGTTCCGAGCTTATGTTAAGACAATCAAGAAGGTATTCCGGTGAAAACTTGCCCCCGGATGTCATATATCGGTATATCGTATCTCCTACACTTGTTCTTCCACACTGAAAAAGTTAAAAGATGTAAATCAGGTACACAGATGACCCACATAAAAATTCCAATCCATATTGGAATTGGAAACCCTGGTTTACCTTGGGAAGGGAAGTGATATATGTATGTGGGATTTCCATTTCGGCGAGAATGCTACTATTGATGGCCATTGCGGCCTTGTGGATTTGATTGGCGGCATCACGTTTTTGTCTTAAATGTTTTCTGGCGGTGTCGGAGAGACCTTCGGGGCCCACACAAGGAACCGGCAACCACCATTTTTCGTCTTTTCTCTGAGGCTGAGGAATCCTCCGGAATGATCCCGTTCGGGAGTTATTTGACATGCTTCCTTGTTCCACATACCAAAACTCTGTTTCTTTGAAACTTTCCAATATTTCCTATATTACAAGAAACAAGAGAATTGACACTTGATTCTGGAAAAAATAAACCTATTCAACAGAGGAAAATAGATGTTGTGGTCTTACTAAGAGTAGCGCATCAAGTTTCTTTAATGCTGGAAGGTTTATATAAATATCTGACCTTGGCCGACTAGACATCACCTGAAAAGTTATTCCAATATTAACCCCAGGTGTATAATTTTATAGCAACCACTTATAAAAAAACTCATCTGAAACGTAATAAAAACAACAACACTTTTTTTTTAATGGGTACCTCCATGGCTTTTCCGTTCTGTAAACTATGTGATGACGGAATGAACTCTACAATGTAATCACAAACAGAAAGTAAGCAGTTCATCTCCCTTTTCCACATCATCTTTTTCTCAGGATGCAAAGGTTCCAGCTTTTGGTGTTGACCAAACATAGAAGCTGAAAACATCAAAACAATAGATCACAAAAACAATCATATGATAATAACACATGGAATTTCATCATACAAGGGCATTTATGTCTTTTGCATACCATAAAGATTTGTGATGGCATTAGACACGGTAACTGCGGTTGAAACTCCTTTACCACTTCCAGACATGTCTTCTCCCAACAAAAGCTTTGAAAATCTCTCTTTCATCATTTCGAGCTCTGTTCCAAGAAAGATTTTGTATAAAAAAAACTGTACAGATTATTAAATTGAAATGCAATAAAAATTAAAAACTCTCACCTAAATCCATAGGTTCACGACTCTCGGGTTTATCTTCTGTTTCAAATTTATGGTTGGGTTTCATTAGACCAAATCTTGAGAGGGCTGGCCTGTAAGGGGATCTTCCAGTGGTGGCCGGCCAGCTGACCGGAGACTGTGTCTCCGATGAGCAGCTGTTATTGTCGTCTGTTAATTGCTCGGAGAAAGCTGAAGTCTCTGAGTTAGTTCTGTAGTAAGCAAAAGAATTGCCACTGAGTGTTGAATTGACTGTAGGTGATTCATCGTGATCATGATCATGATCATCTGCTCCTTGATCCAATGAAGAAATTGTTGATGACTCAAATCCCAAATCAGAGGTCTCTTCAAAATCGTCTAATTTCTCCATTGTTAATGGTCTCTGGCTCTAGAAACTTTGGATTAGTGGTAGAAATTCAGTCCTGCATTTATACGAACAGTTGGCGTGCATTAAAAAGGATAACGGAAAGAAATACCGGGAAAATACTTGAATTGCAAGAATCTTCGTAAAGGAAAAGCAAAAAACAAAAAGAAATCTCGAAACGTCATTGTTACCTGCCCTTATATAGTTGTTATATACAAGTAATTCGCTAGCAAAAAGCGTATATTTCAAAAAAACTAAACCCAACGGTTAGATCATTCAAATACCAACACCAACATAAAAAGGAGATTACGAATCTTTACAGAGAGTTATTACCTTTGTTCGAATTCGAAACAGTTCCCTCTTTAACCGCAACAACAGCAAATAATAAACAATCTTGATTTCCTTTTTCTCTTTCTTCAATTTTTGGTCACCCTTTCCCTTTTTCTCGAAAAAGGAACTGCAGAGGCGTGCTGCTCGCTAACCCAGTAGAAATTGCAGGCGTCTGATCCTTAATGCGACCATTTCTGAACGAACCCCAGTTGGTAAATGATCTTTGAAATTTAAATGGTGGAAAGATGATGATGAACGATTATCTGTAGTCTTGAATCTTATGAAGGACAATGATTGATTGACCTTGTTGCATGAGTTGGTACAGCAGGAGAAGGTTCTATAAAACTAAAGAGGTGGTGTCGTTATGTAAATAATAAAGGGATGTCCTTTTTACAGAGATGAAGTTGACGAATCCTGACCCAAATTAAATTTCCATTAATAACAAAGATACCATATGGAAACCATATCATTACTTTAGACAAGGTTCAGGTTCATATTTCTTGAAATTTGGAGTGATCAACATGTGTTTTTATTTATTTTATTAAATATTATATGAAAAAACTTTAAAAAAAATAATATATTATTTTTAATATATGAAAATTTATTATATTATTTTGTTAATTAAAAATATTTTATATTTTGATTGGGTCTAAAATAATGTTTTGTAATTGATAAATTCTTGAAAAGATGATTATGTTTTTGTTTTATACAATAAAATCATTTTGTGTTCTCATTTTGTTCAATAAAAAATGGAAAAAATCTAGTGAAATGTTTCTGAACAAAAAAAAAAATACATAGAATAAAGAGAAAGATAAAAGTTTTACTGTATAAAATCAAAATATAAAATAATTTTATTGTACAAAATAATATTTTTCATGGATTAGAGGATAATATATTGAGTTTTATAAAGCCATATAAGTAGGCTACTCCGTTTTTATGAGTTTGCCCGTTAAAAACAATCGATTTAAATAAGAAAATGACATTTGAGTGTAATAAAGTGTTTTCCTTGTATTCATTAGGTCCCTTATTTTATTTATTTATTTATTTATTTATTATTATTTTTTTTAATTATACCATTGAACTTAGTATTCCTGCTCACCAAACCATCGCGACCGGTTATCACCTGTTTTACCGGTTACCACTTTTAATTAGAGATGACATGTCATATTACATGGACTTAGAGCACATTTAATACACGTTTCTCTTTCACCCCCTTTCTCCTTACAGTTAGGGTTCGGTAAATTGAAGAAAACAATTGAATCGAAGAATACGGTTACAAAATTGAAGAGAACTGGTGAATGCAAGTGTTATAGTGAATAAGATGGCCTCGGATTCCAAACGACATAAGTATTTAACAGTTTATATACATTATAATGGTTTATTCGCACCAAAACCATTAGTGTACTTGAACGATGTTGTTGTTTCAATCTGTGATGTTGATTTTGGTGCAATGGATCTCAAAGAGTTTAAGTTGTTCATTGCAAAGTTGATTGAAGGCAGTTGCGATAATGTATATTATTGCACTATAAATGAACCATTGGCAGAGGGTCTTAGGAGAATTGGGAATGATGCTGACTACTTTGAGTTTACTGAACGTATTATAGTGATGAAACCGATCTAAGAATGAATGTGTATATATACCACGAAAATGAACCTATACTTGATTGGGCTGATATGGAAGTAGTAGAAGATGATGAAGGGCATTACTCTGAGGAAGACTCGGATCATGATAATGATTCACAACTTTCTGATGTTATTCCATATGAGCATGAAGCAGATGATTACATTCCTTGTCTTGACAAGACTATTGGTGATGAATTCTTACACCGGGTGTCACGTATGTGTAAGGATATAAATGATGAGGCTGAAACTGATGAGGTTGAAACCAAGATTGGGGATGACAAACCAGTGTACCCTGTCCATAATGAGAACCAGAAATGGGACAAAATGGTGTCAATTCTAGGTATGAGATTCTCTAACCCGATGGAATTGAAAAATTGTTTGGCTAACTATGCAGTGAAGAATGGGTACAACCTTTATTTTGAGAAAAATGATAGTCAGAGGTTATTAGTGAGATGTTGTGTAACACCCAAAGTTTCAAAGGCCAAGAAAGGAAAGAAAAGCCCTAATTTAAGGGCCGACTCGGCGAGTCCAAGGAGGGACTCGGTGAGTCCGAGCGGGATCCGGGTCGAGGCGTAAGCGACCGACTCGGCGAGTCGGTCAAGGTGACTCGGCAAGTCTGGTCTGTGCGTGGAAAACCCTAAATTCGGGACTTGGAGCCTATATAAATGTCTTAATCTTCTTCCTAGGGTTCCTTACTGCCTCTTTAGCCCTGGATATCAAACCCTAGCCGTCACATCTCCTAGTTGAGCCTTGGAAGGTGCATTAAAGCTTGGAAAAGGAAGAAGGAACTTGGAGGAGCAAGAAGGAGCTATAGATCTGGGATTGTGAGTTCATTCTGAGCACTTGGAGGTAATAAACTAGTTCCTGGACCCTTTTTGCACCTAGATCTATGTGTGGTTGTTGGGGCTCTTTTGCCATAATGTTATTATTTTGGGTTAGAAGCCGGATCTGGAGTTGCTACTTCAGATCCAAGTGTTTTAGGGCCTGGAGAAGCATAAAGTATCAACCATTAAGTCGATTTTGAAGCCCGTTGGCCTTACACCCTAGTTTATGGCATATTTTGCCTAGATCTCCTTCTCTACACGTAAAGTTTGCAACTTTACGTGTGGAATAGGCTTGGGAAGGGTAGATCTACAGTTTGGAGTCCATGCATGACTCTAAAATCCTCTGCATGTAAGGAGATTTGAAGGGACTCGACGAGTCCTTTGAGTGGACTCGGCGAGTAGCATGAAGTTGTGGAGAAACTCGACGAGTGAGATGAACAAATCGTCGAGTCGTATGAAGATTGCCTTGTACTCGGCGAGTCTGTTCTCGGACTCGGCGAGTCAGGTCGCGAAACCCTAAACCCTTCGAGTTGTGACTCGAATCAGTGAGTCGGGTGGAGGCTCAGTGAGTTGGACAGGTCTGGACTTAGAAATCGGTAGACTCGGCGAGTCATGGACTGACTCGGCGAGTCGAGTCAGGAATGGAATGAATCTGATCATTTTGAACTCGGCGAGTCAGTAGGGTGACTCGGCGAGTAGGGTTGACCTGGAAGGTTGAATTTGACCAGGACTTTGACTTGGGACCAGGGTGGACTTGGTTGTCTTTCAGGGGTCAGTTAGACTCAGTGTTGCATTGATATTGGTAGTTCGGGGAGCAAGAGGAGCAGGAGTTCCGTGAGTTGTCAGGCAGCAACTAGTGAGAGCATCAGCAAGTTCAGCCAGTGCAGGTGAGTTTCCCTTTGTGTGAATGGGTCTAAGGCCACAATGCCGGCCCATGTAGTTATGAGTAGAAGACCCGGGGGTTAGCCCTAGGCACAGTATGCTAGTATTGTTTGCAGGACGAGGTCCAGTAATAGCGGGCGGGTGCCCAAGGAATTGTTTATATATGATAGTTTATACTTGTTGTCTGTGTGATACATGTATGTGCCTGGTAGGGAGGTGAGTGTGGGCGAGGTCCCGTATCTCACCAATAGCAGAGTGTGGATGGGGTTCCATATCTCACTAGTAGCAGATTAGGGGCGAGGCCCGAACTAGAACAGGAGTGAGAGTGGGCTAGGCCCGTACCTCACTACCATTAGGAGCATGGACGGGGTTCCATGACTCATCAGTAGCAGGACATGGGCGAGGCCCAGGATAGGCGAGGCCTTAGGACAGAACTAGTTGCATGTGTCAGTTATGTGTTGTGAAATGTGTATATGTTATTATTTGTTGACGGGCGAGGCCCTGTGACAGGCGAGGCCTAAGTGAAACAGATCTGTATCCGAGCGGGGCTCGAAGCCAGGCGGGGCCTGGAGCGGCGGGGCCGTTGTAGCGGGCGAGGCCCGAGGTAGGGGCGAGGCCCAAGATAGGGGGCGTGGCCCAGTATGTGCAGTATGTGGTTATGCATGGTATGTGGTAGGGTGGGGAACTCACTAAGCTTCGTGCTTACGGTTTTCAGTTTTGGTTTCAGGTACTTCCGGTAGCGGAGGGAAGAGCTCGGGGTGATCGCATGGCACACACCATAGATTAGACAGCCTGGGAATGTTTACTCTGATAACAAACATGTGTTTTGAAAACTTATACTCATATTATGTTTTGGAATGATGACTTTACTTTAAGTAATGATTTATTAAAGAAATTTTTGGTCTTAAATTTTGGGTCGTTACAAGTTGGTATCAGAGCCTTGGTTTGAGGGATTCGGACATGCTCTCGGGTGTGTCTGAACTCAAACTGAGGAATTGGTAAGGAAGTTTTCAAAATGGAAAGACAGTTTTGTAAAAAGAGTTTTGAGAAAGAAAATGATTTTAGAAAAGTAAAAAGAATTCAGAAAGAAAAGAACTTTGAAAAGAGAAAAGAGGTGTGGTGCATGCAATCAACCGAGCTCAAGTAAGTACCCCAAAATACCCATACAAGTTTATGTTTTGATTATCAGTTAATAGAACAGCATGCTAGATTAGGACTAAGGATCTAGGGAGGATGCCTTATGTGCCTGTTATATGTGCTTTTGATCTGCATGATAGTGCTGAATAGTCAGTAGTAGGATAGCCTGATTAGGTTATGCCTGAGTTTATGAGTTGTGTTGCATGCTAGTTCAGATTCTTGCTATGTGGATATGATTGCTTGAGTATGTTATGGTTAGATTTTCCCTTGTCTGAATGCTGCTTGCTTTGTGCATTGTGGGATTCTAAGTGATGGGAGTTAGCCATTAGGTGGATACGTCACGTCACATGTGATCAGGGTTGAATAATCTCAGAGTGTTGGATTTGGTCCTATTGCGCAGCTCTTGTTTGAGTCCAACCGTTGTAGGAACGAGTCTTTTACTTGAAGGATTATCTGAGCCTCGTCACATGTGATGGTATCCAGGTGATGGCTAATTGGCATTGCGAGGAGGCCTTCAGCAGCTGAGGACTGGTTTGAGTTGAGTCAAAGGTTTCCCTAGGGTAAGCCTAGGATGAGGTAGTGCTGGGAGCAGTAGAAGTAGAAAAGGGACCTGGTGGAGTCAAAGCAGTTCCTGAGGAAAGTACGGATAGATGTGGAAGGTAGTATGGGCCCGTACTACTGAAAGCAGAGGATCCGTACTCGATTCGGGAAAGGCCGAGACAAGACCGGGAACCTGGTAGTGTGTGTATGTTTGGTCTCGCAGCAGTGAGGAGTATTCTGATAGTGGTTATGTTATATGTTTCAGTATGGTGACATTGCAAGAGGGACCAGTGGGCGGATCAGGCACCGGAGAGGGATTAGGCTCGGGTTTAGGGGCCGAGCAGCTTGAGGAGCGGATGAGAGAGTTGATATCAGCGGAGGTTACGCGTAGTATTCTAGCTCAGACTCCTGTCATCTTTGGCACGGTCAAGGAGGGTATATTGGAGATTTTGGATGAGAGGCTGGGAGCCTTCCGTACTGAGATGATGGCTTTATTGGGAGCGCGTACCTTGACATTTCGGGAGTTCAGGGCTTGCGGGGCACCAGATTATCATGGGGCTAGGGACCCCATCGCTAGCAGCAGATGGTTGGCTGATGTTGCCAACGCATTCCGTACGAGCCGGTGTCCTGAGGAGGACAAGGTCAGACTCGCTTCCTGTCTTCTGAAGGACAGAGCGAGGGATTGGTGGGAGGAGATTGGTCACGCTTTGGGTGATGATGCCGCGTTGGACACGATGACTTGGAGTGATTTCTCAGCGAGGTTTAGAGCGGAGTTTTCGCCGATTATTGAGGTGCAACAGTTGGCCCGGGAGTTTCAGGATTTGACGCAGACTACTGAGGCTGTGGCGGAGATCACCGCTAAGTTCAGAGAGAGAGCCCTTCTTGTTCCGCAGTATGTCGCGGATGAGGAGATGAAGAAGGCACGATATCACGAGATGCTGAGGGATGACATCAGGGAGTTCGTGAGTAGGTCCGGATGTAAGACCCTGGAGGATATGATTTCTCGGGCCAGGGAGAGGGAAATTGATTTGGAGCAGATCTGGAAAAGGAAGCCGGATGAGGTTCAGGTAGCCGCGAGTTCGGGAAAAAGGCCCAAGGGAACGGATTCGAGGTCGAGGGATTATCAGGACCGCAGTCGATGCGGAAGGTGTGGCAGGACGCACGGGGGCACGTGCAGGAGTGGTAGTGGTGGTGAGTCTGGCTGTTTCAGGTGCGGTCGGACTGGTCATTTTAGCAGAGATTGTACTGCTACCATCACTCAGGGTTCAGACTTGATATGTTTCACTGCAATCAGTGGGGCCACAATAAGGCCCAATGCCCTAGTTTGTTTTCAGCAGGACGGGTGATGGCACCCGCCCCTGCAACTTTGAGGATCACAGACGGCTGTCAGGGCCGTGCGGAGGCACCTGCGGTAGGAGGCAGGGCTTTTCAGATGGCTACTTTGGAGATGCGAGCAACGCCAGACATTGCAGGTATGCAACTTCCGTTTTCAGTTCTTTTATTTTGTGCATGATTATATTGTTATGGTTCTGCATCATTAGCGGTTGAGCATTTTATTCTCGAGCGGGTTCATTGTGATCGAGTTATATGCCATTTGCATACCTTGGATATTGGTTAGTAATTAAGGGATGAGTTGTATCGAAGAAGGTTACGTTGAGTGCAGTATCCGTAGCATGCCTTGGTGAGACTCGGTATGTCTCGCTAGTTCGGAGCCGTATAAGTTTTAGGATGGATAGGTTGGATCCTTAGCTATGGTAAGCTGGGATTCCTCAGCGGATTGATTATGGTAGCAAGGATTGGGATTTCTTCTCATCGATCATCGAGGTGTAAGCAGGATCCAAGTGGGGGAGAATCCTCCGAGTGTATAAGAGTATCAGCCATTAAGTCGATTTTGAAGCCCGTTGGCCTTACACCCTAGTTTATGGCATATTTTGCCTAGATCTCCTTCTCTACACGTAAAGTTTGCAACTTTACGTGTGGAATAGGCTTGGGAAGGGTAGATCTACAGTTTGGAGTCCATGCATGACTCTAAAATACTCTGCATGTAAGGAGATCTGAAGGGACTCAGCGAGTCCTTTGAGTGGACTCGGCGAGTAGCATGAAGTTGTGGAGAAACTCGACGAGTGAGATGAACAACTCGTCGAGTCGTATGAAGATTGCCTTGTACTCGACGAGTCTGTTCTCGGACTCGGCGAGTCAGGTCGCGAAACCCCAAACCCTTCGAGTTGTGACTCGAATCAGTGAGTCGGGTGGAGGCTCAGTGAGTTGGATAGGTCTGGACTCAGAAATCGGTAGACTCGGCGAGTCATGGACTGACTCGGCGAGTCGAGTCAGGAATGGAAGGAATCTGATCATTTTGAACTCGGCGAGTCAGTAGGGTGACTCGGCGAGTAGGGTTGACCTGGAAGGTTGACTTTGACCAGGACTTTGACTTTGGACCAGGGTGGACTTGGTTGTCTTTCAGGGGTCAGTTAGACTCAGTGTTGCATTGATATTGGTAGTTCGGGGAGCAAGAGGAGCAGGAGTCCCGTGAGTTGTCAGGCAGCAACTAGTGAGAGCATCAGCAAGTTCAGCCAGTGCATGTGAGTTTCCCTTTGTGTGAATGGGTCTAAGGCCACAATGCCGGCCCATGTAGTTATGAGTAGAAGACCCGGGGGTTAGCCCTAGGCACAGTATGCTAGTATTGTTTGCAAGACGAGGTCCAGTAATAGCGGGTGGGTGCCCAAGGAATTGTTTATATATTATAGTTTATACTTGTTGTCTGTGTGATACATGTATGTGCCTGGTAGGGAGGTGAGTGTGGGCGAGGTCCCGTATCTCACCAATAGAAGAGTGTGGATAGGGTTCCATATCTCACTAGTAGCAGATTAGGGGCGAGGCCCGGACTAGAACAGGAGTGAGAGTGGGCTAGGCCCGTTCCTCACTACCATTAGGAGCATGAACGGGGTTCCATGACTCATCAGTAGCAGGACATGGGCGAGGCCTTAGGACAGAACTAGTTGCATGTGTCAGTTATGTGTTGTGAAATGTGTACGTGTTATTATTTGTTGACGGGCGAGGCCCTGTGACAGGCGAGGCCTAAGTGAAACAGATCTGTATCCGAGCGGGGCTCGAAGCCAGGCGGAGCCTGGAGCGGCGGGGCCGTTGTAGCGGGCGAGGCCCAAGATAGGGGGCGTGGCCCAGTATGTGCTGTATGTGGTTATGCATGGTATGTGGTAGGGCGGGGAACTCACTAAGCTTCGTGCTTACGGTTTTTAGTTTTGGTTTCAGGTACTTCCGGCAGCGGAGGGAAGAGCTCGGGGTGATCGCATGGCACACACCATAGATTAGACAGCCTGGGAATGTTTACTCTGATAACAAACATGTGTTTTGAAAACTTATACTCATATTATGTTTTGGAATGATAACTTTACTTTAAGTAATGATTTATTAAAGAAATTTTTGGTCTTAAATTTTGGGTCGTTACATGTTGTAAAGATAACAAGAACCCCTCTTGTCCGTTTAGATTGTGGGCTTCTTGGATGAGTAGTGAAAGGTCTTTCCAGATTAAGTCCTTAGTTGATGACCATAACTATTGAAGAGTCTTCAAACTTGGTTCCATTGTAACATATAAATGGATTGGAAAGCATTTTAAGAATCAACTTTTGAAGAACCCCAAAATGAGCATAAGGAAAATGAAAGACAAAGTAAGTACAAAGTTTAACTTGATTGTTAGTGTCACTCAATGTAGAAATGCTAGGAGATATGCTTTAGATGAGATAGAGGGTAGTTTGATTGAACATTATGGTAAAGTATGGAGTTATGGAGAAGAAATAATGAGGACAAATCTTGGTTCAACAGTAAAGATAGATGTGAATGTCATGCCTGATTCCACCACATACTTTTCTAAAATGTATGTTTGTTTTAAGGGTGTGAAGGATGGTTGGATTGCAGCATGTAGGAGGGTGATAGGGGTAGATGGTTATTTTTTAAAGGGTATATGTAGAGGCCAACTGTTAGCATCTATGGGTAGGGATGCAAACAACCACATCTTCCTTATTACATGGGCTGTGGTGGAAGTTGAAAATAAGGAAACATGGAAGTGGTTTCTTGACCTCCTTCTAGATGACATCGAAATGGGAATTGTTCATGGATTGACCCTCATATCAGACCAACACAAGGTATATTTTTGTTTTGTTTTGTTTGAGTTGAATGTTTTTGTTATGTCATATATTTCATGTTTTCTTTTAGGGATTAATAGAGGTTGTCAAAGAAAGGGTTCCAGCAGCAGAGCATAGACAATGTGCTAGGCACATCTATGCTAACTTTAAGAAAATATTCAAATGTGAACAATATAGAAAGTTGTTTTGGGCAGCAGCTGCTAGTACTACTTAACCTAAGTTTGAGGTAGAAATGAATTCCATAAAAAAAATTAACCCTTTGGCTTATGAACACCTCATGGAAAGGGACCCTAAAAGTTGGTGTAGGGCATTCTTTGAAGTGGACAGGGCTTGTGATGCTTATGAGAACGGCATATCAGAAAGTTTCAATTCTATTATTGATCTTGCTAGGAAGGGCCACTCCTCACCATGTTGGAAGATATTAGGATTTATGCAATGGAGAGGATGTATAAAATGTTGCTAGAGGAACAAAGTTGGGGGAATTTAAAATATGTCCATCTATAAGATTAAAGATATCAAAGTTAAAGAAACAACAAAGGTATGATATAACTTCTATTTTATAAGTATTATTTTCTCATCTATAAGATTAATAGAACTTCTTATTTTTGTAGGCATATTTTGGGGAGTTATACCTTCTGGGATACAACAATATGAGGTTAGGATTGGAAATGATGGATATGTTGTGGACCTTAACAACAACACATGCGGATGTAGATCTTGGCAAGTATCAGGTATCCCATGTGTGCATGCAGTGGTAGCCATTTCATATCTCAATAGGAATGTAGAGGATTATGTTGCACCATGGTTCCATACAACCATGTTCTTGACTTGTTACAACCATACAATTAATCCACTTAATGGTAGTTCTATGTGGCCTGAAGTTCCCTACATGAAGCCATTGCCTCCCCAAAAAAGAAGGTTACCAGGAAGGCCAACCCTTAAAAGGAAAAGGGATCAATCTGAGAGGGAAAGCCAGGGGAAAACAAGGCATAATATCTCAAAATCAGGTGCAGTTATGAGACACACCATTTGTAGAGAAACGGGCCACAATAGATCAATATGTCCTACAAGACCAGAAGATGCAACATCCACTTCACTGCCAAAAAAGAAGAAAGCTAAAAATGTATAATAGAGAAAGGTATGCCATTAAAACAATGTAATTATACTGCAACATATAACTTATTAACTACACCTTTGTATAGCAGGTAATGTGGAACCAGTTCAAGTGGAACTAGTTCAAGTAGAAGCAGTTCAAGTAGATCCAATTCAAGTGGATGCTCCTGCACAACCTATTGATGATGTTCAAATAGATCCTGCTCCACATGTTGATGTTCAAGTAGATGATCTTGTTAATGATGTCCCTACTCAACCTGTTGCAACCGGGAAGTGGACACGAAAATGCTCTGAAAGAATTACCAAGATTGGGTCAAGGAGGAAGGTTTTGAAGAAAGAAGGAAGCAATGATCACCACCCAATGGTGTTGGAATGAATTTATGTTTTAATATTTTTAGGAATACAAACTTTTTGTCTTTTAATTATGTAATTGGGAAAACTTTTAGTCATGACACATCTTTTGACATATTAGGACAAATGTGGGTACAACTTTTGTAATGGTGCACATGCTAATGGAATCTTACAAGTTTGTATTTTATCTATATTATATGCTTGGGTGTTATACTTAATCGAGACCATTTTACCCCTGCATCGTGTACAATTCACTAACCAGTCAAACACATTAATATTTCTTTGAAACTACTCAAAACATCAAACTATCATTAATAAAAAAAATTAGTCTTAATACATTAAGAAATGTTTGATGTTGTTATGGTTAATATGGACCATTTTACCCCTGAAAAATGTCCTATTCACTAACATGTTAAATACACTAATATTTCTTTTTAACCACTCAAAACATCAAACTATCATTAGTAAAAAAGATTTAGTCTTAATACATTAAGAAATGTTTGGTTTTTGTTGTGGTTAATCTGGACCATTTTACCCCTGCATAATGTCCAACTCACTAACTTGTTAAACACACAAATATTTCTTTTTAACCACTCAAAACGTCAAACTATCATTAGTAAAAATAGATTTAGTCTTAAAACATTAAGAAATGTTTGATTTTGTTATGGTTAATCTGGACCATTTTACCCTTGGATCACATTAAGACATTAACAATTGATTGTTGTTATACTTAATCTCGACCATTTTACCCCTGCATCGTATACAATTCACTAACTTGTTAAACACATTAATATTTTTTTGAAACCACTTAAAACATCAAACTGTTATTACTAAAAAAGATTTAGTCTTAATACATCAAACAAAATACAACATTGACTCTGAATACAACTTCACTAACTACTTCTTAAACACAAACAACAGAAAGAACACAATCATCAGAACTTTATGAGTAAGTAGCTTCCATTTGATTTTTTCATACTCTTGTCTAACAACCAAATTTTCTTGTTCCATTTTCATCTTACATATACTGATTTGGTTTTCCAATGTAGAAATTTTGAGGATTAAATTGCACAATTCTTTTTGGTCCTTCCTAGAACTGACTTCATTATCAGGGGTTTCAGGCTCCAACCATTCCCAGAACTTGCATTTTGGTCCTTCATTCTTGAAAAAGCAACAAATTGGTTAAAGAAAGAACAATATAAAGAACATTAAACCTAAAAGATAAAACATTTGATTTACCATGGAGTTAGGGCACAAAATGAATTTTTTTCCTGGACTGTCTTTAGTTCGTGAAGTTCATATGCGAGATGGTAACCCACAATAGCAAGGATTTTCAGGTTAAAATTCAGCATTTCGTTTGGAAGAGATAGAAGAATAAGAAGAAGCATCCATGTCGATCTATGGCACAATTGATGAGAATGACGCAAAATGGAGCTTAATATTGCATGACTTGCATTTAATAAGCCAAATGTATGCCACATAATATCCACATAAGCATTAACCTACAACAACCGGTCGCGATGTTTTCGTGAGCAGAAATATTAAGTTTAGTGGTATAATAAAGATAAAAAAGATAAGGGACCTAATGAAAACAAGACAAACACTTTATTACCCTAAAATGTCATTTTCCCATTTAAATATGATTTTCTTTTAAGAAATACCTTATCAAAACATAAAATGATTTATTATAGAATATAATAAAATAACAGTTTTCCTACTCTTTAAATCATAACAAGTAAGTTTTTTTAAAATTTATATAATACATAAATCAATTCCACTTCTATAACTATTTTTAGTTTTTTTATACATTAGGATGTAACTTCGATAAAAATAACAATTACTATTTTACTTTTATTTTAGATTCGTACCCCTTATATTAAGGACCTCATTAAATAAGTAATACAAAGTATATTGATATTTAAAGGGTGTTGTGAAGTTTTTTGTCAACGGTAAATGGTGTTATATAGGTGCCACATAAGGTTTAACAAAATTTGTCATATTGGTGTTTTTTTTTTATTTTTTATTTTTTATATTTTTTTTTTTTACCAATAGTATATATAATGGTATTTATGTTAAAAATAAAAAAGAAAAACAAAAAAGAAAAGAAAATTACAATGATCAATCATGAGATTAAAAAAGCTTTACGATTAAAATTTGTCATCGGTGGAACTTCATCTATAACCATTGGCAAAAAAAAAAAAAAAGTTAGGGTGTGGTGGTGAACACGGGTAAAAATACCACATAGACTTTTACCAATGACAAAACCCTCCCCTACATAGCTTTATAATTTTTTAATTTTTTTTGATAAATAGTTTATCAGTTAATTCTAAAAAACAAAATTTGTTAAACACTTAAATATTTACCGGTTATCTAGTTATTACAATTATAAATAATAAAAAGTTTATATTTAAGGTCGCTGATGACATCTTTCGTCTAATAACACATGTGTCTACTTTATAAAACCTATTATAAGGACTTAAAGAGTTAAAGTTGCTTGCATTGATCATATTTCCAGCACGTCCATCCGTATAACTAACAAGTTTTTATACAATTTTTACCGGATTTATAACTTGTTGCTATCTTGGGTTTATACATTTAAAAGGTGTAACATTTGTTTACGTCATGTATAAAAGGTGTCCTGCGTGAATTTGTGTACATCATGTATAAAAGGTGTTATGCGTGAATTTTGCAAAATTTTTGGACAAAAAAGTGTGAATTTTGCGAGATGTCTCAAAATAATGCAATCTGAATTAATATCATATCTAATAATACGTATTTTATGTATTTAATTTCTAGTAAAAAAAAACTTATTGAAACATATACGAGTTAAAATACTTTTGAGTAAAATACATAAATGCTTTTGTATTAGTTACTAGGTGAAAGAACCTACCATATTTTCTTAAAAGAACCATTATATTCTTTTTTTAGTGCATTAAAAATCATATATTTACACAAAATCTTACTTAAGAATTTTTGACTTAAAACCAAACCTATTTCCATACAAACATTAAAAAGGAGAAAATTACAAATTTAACAAAAAAATGTTAATTACGTTATGGAAAATAGCCAAAAAAAATTAAAACTACAATTTTAGTTATCAATTTCACAGATGGACTGATGGATTAGTCCATCTGCGAACGTACAAGCTGCTAAAGAGCAGTTCGTGCTTTAGTGACTTGTACGTTCGCAGATGGACTAGTCTATCTGTAAACATATCAATTCATTTGCGAAAATAAACCTAGCCTACTATAAAAATGTAATTTTTTTTGTTCATTTTCACTCTTTTTTATTGGAAAAATCTCACTGGGAAGCAATTTTCTTACCCCATCTGTGATTATGAACAATCCCGATAATATGGTAACAACTAAATTGATATTTTTTAAACAAGTTTTAAACAAATTTTTCAAAGAAATAACAACTAAATTGATAATTTTTTTAGAGAGGTTTTAAACAAATTTTCCAAAGAAATAACAATTAAACTGATAATTTTTTGTAAAAGTTTATATATAATAAGGTTGTTTTGTAGTCAAACCTTACCAATTTCGTAGTAAAAAAAATTACAAAAAAACACAAAATTGCAGTTGAAAAAGAGAGGAAATCGCAGATGTCCATCTGCGATTTTAAGGGGGAAATGAAGTTTTTATACAGCGAAAAAAAAAGTCATCCGCGAACGTACAAATGACTAAATCGTAGATAAGCTTAATCCATCTGTGATTTTGGTGACTAAAAATGTAATTATGTTTTTTTGGCTATTTTCCACCAAATAATTAATATTTTTGGCTAAATTTGTAATTTTCTCTTAAAGAACCACTGTATTTTTTAGTGCATAAAAACCATTACATTTTATGAAATTTTCTAATATAATAAATCGTAAACATTAAAAAAAATCACTGTATTTTTTAGTGTATAAAAACCATTACATTTTATGAAATTTTCTAATATAATAAATCGTAAACAACACTTGAGAATGGACCGTCTAACATTCTATGGCTATCTAAAAAGGTAAATTATAATACACCTTGAATGAAAAAGTATTATAAAGACAAATAATAAAGTTAGAAAGGAGTTATACAAACTTGTTATTCAAAAGAACTAATATGTGTTGGACATAATTATTTATCAAGTGTTTATAAGTTCAATGTCAAGATGATTAGATAAAATTATGCAGAAAATGAATTCATATGATTTATGAATTTGTGAAAGGAAAGTGATGACTATCCATACATAATATGATATGAGTTTGCAATTTCATCGTGAAATTAATTGAAAGCAAATATAGCTTAAGAAATAGTTCAAAAATATAGAAATATGATTGTTTTTAAAGGGGAAATAGACTTATTAAAGTAATTAACTTTTCGATTCACATTAGGGTAACTATTTTTTTTTGTACAAATCTAGGTAACAAATTTTTTGAACATATGTAACGTCCTGTTTTGAATCGATTTCCTAATTCGGGATTGTGTCCTGAAGATGAGTTATCATCAGGCTTAGGGCGTTTGGAAGAGAGAGATCTAGACCCATTTAGGTACGGACGATGTAATTGAGGTGATCCGGGGGTTTGGGTTGTGCCTTGCAGCCAAGGGGTATATTGATAAAGTAGCAGTTCGATCTCTTTATGAATTTTTGATTTTCGTTCAGAAGGTTTTGAGGTGAAGATAAGTTGATAGATGTGTAGAGCTTCTCGCCACCTTTTCGTGGATATAAAGAACGTCAAAAACGGAGTTGAAACGAAGAAGTTATGACCGTTTGAAGTTCAAGTGGTTCAGGTGAATGATTGTTGACTTGTTGACCAAGTTCATTTAAGGCTCATGACGTGAGCATTAAGGGCTCACGACGTGCGGAGTGCCTGATGCTCCAAAACCCTAATTTTCGGGTATTTAAAGGTATAAGATGATTAGGGTTGCTTATCCTCAGCCTCTTTTACTCCCAAGTCACTGAAAAACCCTAGATTCATCCCTCTTGAGCTATTGTTGGTGGTTTTGGTGTGCTAATGGTGCTTTGATTCCCTTGAAGAAGAAGAAGGAG